TTTTAAAGAGAATTTAGATGTTGAATAGTGTAGTGATTAATAAAGTGCCTAATACTTTTGGCCAAGGCTGTATTTATGATCTTTTACTTTTATAAGATCGCAATTGAGACAAACAGTTAACTAATTATTAACTAGAAAAATTGTTGTAATATGCGCGGAAATATTAATTAAAATCCGAGTAAGAATGTAACTCCGCGAATTCACCTACGACGGTCGCTCTTTGAGCGGCGAACAAATTCAGGAACGTCCCTTCGTTCTCGGTGGCTATCAATTGCAGCTAATCCTTCCCCAAAATCGCTGAGAAATTCTTGTCCAGCGTGTTCTCCGCAGTGACTGCGAGCTCGCGATTTAAAATCGTATCTGACACTCATCCGCAGACATATTAATCGCGTTATTTATAACATACCGTTCATGAAATTCTTGCATTCGATGATTATATCTTGCATTCGATGATATTCTACGAAGATCGACTTTTCAGTGGGACAATTAAAACTCATGCGACTCGGTGGTTCGGTCATGTATATTAGATACCCAATTCCAGCGGTAATCCAGCTATAAATATCTTTGAATTATATTTTCTACCGGGTCCGAGGGCATCGCGCTACGGACGATTTGTCCTAAAAGAGGGTGGAGAACGAACGGAGAATACCGCCGCGCGGTGTCTGTTTACCCGTCAATCGTGCGATTAAATTGGATCGCCGGTATTATCTTTTAATCTCGTCTCATCGGTAGAATGGTGTGGCTTTGGAAAAATCGGTATAAAATTTCGCATTGCAACGCCGCGCCGCGCCGACCGGGTTATAGTCTCGCAACCGGAGACTAAAACAATTTGGAAACGCGGCACGCAGTACTTTATTTCGCGCTGTAAACTCGAATTCCCGTTTTGTACTCGTCATCAATCATCTTTCTGGGATGTATAGAGTGCGCGTTGTATCTCTCTTTTACAGATTTCTCGGTCACACTTTGAAATCCTTCGTCAACAGGAACATCGATATGTTAACAACTCTTGAATATAACTATGGAAAATGTGAAACTTCTCTTAAATTCAACTTGAAGAGAAATCACATTTTTCAATCAATTCCAAAATATTTTTCCTTTAATGTAATTTCGATTAAATTTAGTATAAAAATATTTAGCAATGATATGTAAAATTGAAAAAAGAGATAATAATTAGCTTCAATATTTTTTTAAAAGATTCCGAAATTAACTTAAAAAGCTATGAAGGACATTACATCATAGAATATTTGTATTTTGAAAAATTATATTTAACGTATCACTCCCTTACTTCAAAAGTGACATAACTTGGAAAATTATTATTGACTTAAATCAAATAATGTCGGCAAAAAGAATATATAATATTTTTAATACGATAAAAAATCATTTTTTTTAATTTTCGTTTTACAACTCTTAGAAAATCTTTTTAAGTTGTGTCACTTTTAAAATAAGAAAGTTAACTTTAAAAGTTTTAGAAAGAGTAAGTTAGTTCATTTGATAATTAATAGATTAATATTACTCATTCATAATAATTCAAAATTCGTATTTTATATGTAAGTTGTGTTACTTCTGAAATAAGAAATACATATAGACTTGCTTAATAATTGTGCACATTTATACTATTATAAACTTATGTATGTATGTGTAATAATTCAACTTATTCAACATCTATTTTTGAAAAAATATTAATATAAATTTATAACATTGAAAGAGTAAAATGCATAATAACAAAACTCAATCAACGGGCGAAGTAAGAGTCAACCACATTTTTTAAAATTTCCATAAAATTATATATTATATTAACAGCGATGAAACATCACGCAAAAAATTAGACTATAAACTAATAAATTACAAGTTTCGGCTACCGGTTTGAGCCCTCTTCAGACATTAGTATAACGAAAAAATAACAGAATAAAATCAATTGTCGCAAATGTTCGCATATTCATAAAAATGTGGTTGACTCTTACTTCGCCCGTTGATTGAGTTTTGTTATTATATTTTGAAAGAGTCCTTTGAATTTGTTTATTGAGTAAAATGCAGTTTAGCACGAAAAATAATGCGCAAAAAATATAATTGGAAATTAGATTATAATAATTTGAAATATAATTCTTTTTTAATCAATGCTTTGTCTTAGGTTCTTACGATATATCGCGCGATATCGAACCATGTATCTTTCATCGAACATATTTCTCGTCGCGGCTTCCGGCAGTTTATCTTCCATCGTTATCGCATAACGAGGGATACTTCCCTCTCATCTTTTCTCTCTTTCCCTTCCTCTCGTTCGCGAGAGCGGTCGGTAACGGCTAATCCAATCCTATTTACATCGCGGAACTGTCGCGGCGGCATTGACGCGCGCGGAAATAAATCCCGACACGACTAACACGAACGTCCGCGCGCACGTCCACCGCGCCACGCCGCCGAGGGTGCGTATAAATCCCGGGCTTTCTCTCGGAACAAATCGAATGTCGGTCGATGTAAATGAATTCCGCTCTAATTGCAATTATGCGACACGAATGCGCATAAACGTTCGCGTTATGCGATAAATGACACGTCACTCAGAGGCCGGCGCGGAGCGGAGCCCGCGCTCGGCCGCTCTCTCACGTCATTGCGAATTTATGAAATGGCGATCGTTATATCCGTATCGGGCCCTCTCGAAACCGTTCGCGTTATAATTGCAATTAATCAATAATTGACGTCATATAATTGGGCGGCCGCCGAGACGACGGACCGTTAAACATTCACGTACGGGCGTCTAGTGGATGGCATACCGAAATGAGAGCTTCCTGGCACCTCGATTTTCCTGGCACAAGACGCCGTTCGATTCGTTGACGAATGTGACATTTTAGACGGAAAACTAATTATTTACACTTAATATAAAATATAATTTAATAATAAAATTAATTAAAATTTTAATTAACCTTATTTTAATTATTGACTAGCTACCTTGATATTGTATAACGTTTAAACGTCATATTCGCATTCAGATTCGGAAACAAAGTTTCATTGTGATAAAAAAGGTGTCAAAATTTTTTGTCATGAGCCAATAAGCAACGTGATAAATTGAAATTCGAAATTATTAGTATATTATTTCATTGATTAATAATAATAATGTAATAAGAAGTATTTTTAGATTTATTTATTAAAAGAAACTATTCATTCATACTCGCATGAGATATAATTCCTGACATATTTATACAATATTTGAAGATATCTTTCAATATATTCGGCGAGCGCAAGTATGTAATAAATTATTATATTGTTGTATAATTATTGCGTTGAGTTGTGTGCCGTTATGAAAAATTAATTAGTCATTATTAGTGGATCAATAAATTCTATAGGTTTTTAGCACGAGTCATCGAACTATTGAAATTCGTGATGAAAACATCTTTGAACTGACGGAACGTCGACCTAGAAAATTCGAGTCATAATCGATAATACATCGCGTCAGACAATTTCAACGCAAATACCACCTCACTGAGAGTGAATGGATAAAATTGGTGAATACACCAATCGGTAGACACACCGTGTAAATACGCGATGGAGATCTGCACCCTTGTCCCCCAAATCAAATTCCCAACTAATTCACCAAGCTGTTTAGTTAGTCTGATCTAATTATCAGACCAACTGTGATTAGACTTTCGCTTTATCGCGGATTCGCGGCCTGGTGAGATGTCCATGAACGGACTGCAATTGTCCGACCAAATGGGTATCGCACGAGTAGATATTTGAACCTGTTCGAATGCACCAGCAAGAATTTCGCAATAAATCAGTCATTCGCACTTTCTCTTTCTTCTCGTTCTTGTAAGATTCTTCGCCTTCTTTCTCAATATATGTGTTTTATATGTGATGTATATATGTGTGCGTACGTGCACATATATCTGTTTTTTGATAAAACACACATTAAAAGCTTTCCACCTGTTGCTAAAAAAGAAAACTATTTTGTATTACCATTACAATCAATATTTGCATTTTTTCTTAGACTAATATAGTTATTTTCCAACAGTACATAAAACAACATTTCCTGTATTTTAAACAATATTATATATACGTACATGTGTGTGTGTCTCTCTCTCTCTCTCTCTCTCTCTCTCTCTCTCTCTCTCTCTCTCTCTCTCTCTGTGTGTGTGTGTGTGTGTGTGTGTGTGTGTGTGTGTGTGTGTGTGTGTGTGTGTGTATTTGTATGTGTATGAATAAATAGAGACTTTAAATAAAAATTTCGAATAAACACTTTTTCATAAATTCCATAAACCACATTTCTATTGAAAATTTTGATTCTTTGCCTTTGTTTTTCTGCTGATACTTACAGAATTAGAATAGCTAAATCAATTATTTCAAAATTTATGCGATTAAAAATTTATAATGATATAATAGCTAATTTTCCTGGTATAGTAAATGCATAAATAATTTGAAAATAAAAAAATATTATTACATAATAGAGTGCGCAATTAGAACTTTCACTTTTCAATGTACAACTTGTATATAAAAGGCCTTTTTACAAAACTTTTCACTCGAGAAATGCCTTGGCCGAAGCGTCTCACAGCTACGCCGCGGTGTCTGATTTGACACTGCCGTTACTACTTAAGGTTTGATTCTCGGGTTCACCGCATGATTTCCTCTGCAATAACAAACACTCGAGTGCCGCCATTCCATCGCCTGGAAAGAGCACGCCCGTTCGCGCGGAAGAAGCCAGTTCGCAAGTTCGAAGCTCGGATGGGAGAGCAGTTCTCGCGCTCGTTACGAGATTAAGGAAAAAGCTCCGGAGCCACGAGGGGGTGGCGAGGTGGCGACCGGGGCACCCGGGGCCCACCCATGAAGACGTGCCCCCTTTCAGGGTATCCTATCACCGACCCGAGCTTATTCCGCCCCTCAAGCTCGGGCCACACCCGCAATCATGCGCAGTTTCCACCCATCGGCCAATGAAAAGCGCCCAGTAGCTTGCAAGCTCGCCGCTCCGGCTCCGGCTTTCGTGGCCGAGCCACTCCAACCAAACACCACGTGGCACGCGTCCGAGTTGCACGTGCATTCGCGGAGCTGCGAGAGCCCGGTGCGCGCGCGAGAACGGGCGCTCGCGACAGAGCTTGCGAGAGAGCTTATAAGGGATCGGAGCGACGGTGTTCTCACCGCTAGGGATAGCGGAGAATTTGTGTCTCCTTACACGCGGGGGATTCCCGTTTCCTTTTTGCGCGAGTTCCTTGAACAGCTTCTTTCTGTAACGCATTCTTTCGATCACTCTATCACTCCCTTGCGCTTTCATTCTTCTTCTCTTTTATCTTCCCCTCTTTCTCATTTTCCTTCGATCCCTCCTTATATCTTTTAACGCATTTTATATAAATGATTGATTGAGTCATATTGTACTATTGTGACGTGAAAGATTTAACTGTGTTTTGAGAAACCTGCCCGACATCTTTCGTCTTCACTGAAAGTCAAGAGCCGTTGGCAAAGACGAAGATTTCAACGAGTTACGGACGAGGTAAGAAAATTATTTATTTGCCATCAAAGATCATTGCTTGCATATATAGAAAGTGAAAGAAAAACATTTATGCATCTTTTAATTTGCATTTTATTGTATGTAATAAAAAATGCATATTGAATATAATTTCTGATAGCAGTCAATGGCAAGTAACATTTAATTAAACACATTAAAAAATAAAACATTTATGAGAGTAAACGCATATACATGACATTTGTGTGGAAATTTAATATTTTTTGTACTGTAGAAATATCGTGACAAGTCAAATGATTAAAAATAAAATTCAAGAAATGTTTAATTAACTCTTTGACGACTTTTTAATATATATTATACACCTATATTCTTCTAAATATCTGTAAAACTTTAGTTTATAAGGAAATATTATAATTATGCGGAAATTTCTAAAGATATTAATTTTCTTATAATTACTTATATTATAGTTTACCATGTTTATTTTGCTAAAAAATTATGAGAAATTGAATAGAATTTTTTTAAAAACTTATTTAGTTCGCTCAGAATATAAGTAACGTTATAGAAAATGTGTATCTAAATTAATCAAATTTTAGACAAGCCTACAGTTTTAATAAAAATTAATTCTTTATACGTATTTATATAAAAATATAATATGTAAATGAGATATAATTTTAGGATATAATATAGTATATGTAAGAAAGTTTTGACGTGTAATAGGCGTCGGTGTCGGCTGGAAGAGAGCTGATATTCAACAGTTGGTCCTTCTTTTATCTTTGAAACTTAACCCTCGATGCTTCTACCCTTCAAACAGGCACCCTCTGTTCATACACCCTGAGAGAAGCACTTCTTGAGGGTGTAACAAAAGTATTTAAAAAAAGTTGAGGGAATTTTCTGTGTAAAACAAGGCGAAAATATATTCCGAACAATGAAACGAAGTAACGAATAGATAATGTCTGGATTTTTTCTCTTGTACTTGAAATGATCCCAAGTTCTTTTTAAACTAATCTGATTATAGTTTGTAACAGTTTATAACCAATCTATATGCTTACGACATTATATTTAATTAAAAAATTTTTATTTATTCAAGTCTTAAAAAGTTTTATTTGTTCAAGAAAAAGAATGAAAGAGATTTTATTTTATATAATTATATATATA